TCATTTCCAGCATAGTAAACCATGTGGTTATCAGATTCAAAATGACCAATACCAGTCCATTTCAGCTCACTAATACCTAAGATATCGATGTTTATGCATTCCATTTCATTTTTGACAACTTCCAATTTTCCCAGATTTATACTTTGTACATTCCATGTTCTGATTTTCAATGGGTTTTTACTGCTGTTTCTCTTCATTTTGAGTTGTGCCCCATCAGCAAATGAAGGTCCCAAGGGCTTTACTCCATTTGCATCATCACAGTCAACTCTACTTTGAAGAGGCAGCTCTTCCCCAGTCGCATCTTGAGTGCCTTCCAACCTGAGATGGACAATAAATAAGGAAGATCATAGATGAATTGATGCTTTTGAGTTGTGGTGTTGGAGGAGAATATTGAAAGTGCCATGGACTGCCCGTAGAACCAACAGATCTGTCTTGGAAGAAGTGCAGCCAGAGTGCTCTTTGGAGGACAAGACGGCTAAACTTCGTCTCTCATACTTCGGACATATTGTCAGGAGGGACCAGTTGCTGGAGAAGGATGTCGTGTTTGATAAGGTGGAAGGTCAGAGAAAAAGAGGAAGACCCCCAGTAGATGGATTGGCCAAGTGGCAATATCAATGGGCTGAAGCGTGGCAACAATAGTGAGGTTGGCCCAGGATCGGGCAGTGTTTCATTCTGTTGTGCATAAGGTCGTTAGGAGTCAGCACTGACTCGATAACACCTAACAGCAACAACAACAACTCTACCTGATGTGGTGCTGTAGGATAAAGCACTGGACCGGAAGGTTGGTTTGAACCACAAGGTCAGCAGTTCAAAATCACCAGCCGCTCCTTGGGAAGCCTATACACGGTCACTATGATTCGGAACCGACTCGATGGCACTTAACAACAACAACTCTACCGAGGACTCCTGGTTTGGCACTGAAGGATAAGCACTGGGCTGCAAACCAGTGGTCAGTGGTTCAAACCCACCAGCCACTCCTCAGAAACCCTATACAGTATCACTCAATTCACAATAAAAACTTTTTTTAAAAAAAGAAATCCTGTGCTTGGTTGCTATGAGTTGGAACTGACATTTAACAACAATTCTACCTGAGGCACTATGGTTGGTTGCATGTATCATATCATTTAAACCACACCAGGACCCTATGAATCAGGAACTGTTATCATTTCCATATTACAGATGAGGAAACTGAGGCTCAGATGTTCATTTACCCCAGGTCCCCCAGCTTGTAAGCAGCAACCAGTACTGAACCCAGGCCTCTGACTCCAGGGCCTGCCTTTCCTTTACCTTCATTCCACTCATTGTCTCCCACTCTGTCTCCAGGCCCACCACTGGCCAGACTCTATGCTGTGGCCCGAGATCCTCACAGTCTCTGGGTGGGCTGGGAACCTGCCAGCACCCAGCCTCAGGGTTATGTGATTGAGTGGGGCCTGGGTCCCCCCAGCCCCAGCAGCGGCAATAAGAACTGGAGGATAGAGCATAAAGGGACCATCGCAGGGACCTTGCTACAAGGTGAGCAGACCTGGGTGTATAGGGAAAAGGGGGAGGGGTAATGCTTGTTTGACAATGGACAAGAAACCATCCTAGAGAAGCACATTCCACAGCCTTTCTGGACCCTTAACTTTTTTTTTTGCCGTGAAAATCCACACAACAAAGTCTTTGCCAATTGAACAATTTCTGCACACGTAATTCTGTGCATTGATTATATTCTTCATGTGGTGTCACCATTCTCCCTATTCTTTCCAAATTATTCCACCACCATCAACATAAACTCAAAGCTCCCTAAGCAAAATTCTCCCTTACCCTCTTCCTGCTCTCCTTGGTAACCACAAACACATAATCCTTGGTTTCTGTATATGTGCTAATTTCATATACCTGAGCTCATACAGTATGTGTCCTTCCGCAACTGGCTTACTTCACTCAGCCTGGTGTCCAGATTAATTCATGTGTCGCAAGTCTCTCGGGACTTCATTTCTGTTTACAGCTCACTAACATTCCATTGTATATACCACATTTTGTTTACCACTCATCTATTGATGGGCATTTTGGTTTTGTTTCCACTTTGGGGTTATTATGAAGAGTGCTGCAGTGAATATTGATTGATACACAGGGTTCTGTTTTCTGGCATCCTGCTTTCTGAGTATGATTTCCTAGGATTGAGACTGCCGGGACATATGGCAGTTCTATGCTTAACTTTTTGAGGAACTTCCAAACTTTTCCACAGTGTTTGTACCATTTTGGACTCCCACCAGCAATTTCTCCACATCCTTTCCAACACCTATTGTTTTCCTTTTTTCTCTTTTTCGATCATTGTTATTCTAATGAGGTGAGATTGAATCTCATTGTGGTTTGGATTTGCATCTCTCTATTCACTGGGAATTGTAGTTGTTGTTGTCAAGTGCCATAGACTCAGATCCAACCCATAGCGATTCTGTATAAGGTTTTCGAGGAGCAGCTGGTGAGCCTGAACCGCCAACCATGAAGTTCAAACAGCTTTGTTGTCTGGCGCATTGACCCACAGCACCACACCAGTATTCCATTTGCTGTGAATGCTTTTGTTATTGTTGTTAGGTGTCATCGAGTCAGTACCGACTCATAGCGACCCTATGCACAACAGAACGAAACACTGCCCCGTCCTGGGCCAACCTCACAATTATTACCATGCTTGAGCCCATTGATGTTGCCACTTTGTCAATCCACCTTGCTCGGGGGGCGGGGGGGCCTCCTCTTTTTCTCTGACCCTCCAACTTACCAAACATGATATCCTTCTCCAGGGACTGCTCCCTCCTGACAATATGTCCAAAGTATGAGGGAAGAAGTTTGGCCATACTGGCCTCCAAGGAGCACTCTGGCTGCATTTCTTCCAACACAGATCTGCTTTGTTCTTTTGGCAGCCCATGGCATTTTCAATATTCTCCTCCAACACCATAACTCAACTGCATCAATTCTTCTATAGTCTTCCTTATTCACTGTCCAGCTTTCGCATGCATATGAGGTTATTGAAAATACCATGGCTTGGGTCAGGAGCACCTTAGTCCTCAAGCTGACATCTTTGTGGTCTTGTGCAGCAGATTTGCTTAATGCAATAGTCGTCTGATTTCTTGACTGCTGCTTCTGTGAGTGTTGATAGTTGATCCAATAAGAATGAAATCCTTGACAACTTCAATCTTTTCTCCATTGATAAGAATGTTGTTTATTGGTTAAGTGGTAAGGATTTTTGTTTTCTTTACATTGAGATGCAATTCAGTGCAATGCAATCACCTCATTAGAAGGGTTAATACACTGAACTTCAAGGTTGATTTGAATCACAAGGTTGGTGGTTCAAACTCATCAAAGGGTCCTCAGAAACCCTATACAGTGTCGCTATGAGTCAGAACCGACTCAGTGGCACTTAACTACAACATTTGCTGTGAGTGGCATTGGGTTTGGTAAGTGGGTTAATGTCAAATGCATCTTTTCTTGTGCTTGTCGGCCATTTGAATATCCTCTTTGGTGAAATGTCTGTTCAAGTTCTTTGCCCATTTTTTATTGGCTTGGGATGATTTGATTTGGGTTGTTTTTCTTTTTGTTGTTATGTTGTAGAAGCTTTTTGTATATTTTGGATATTAGATCTTTGTCAGATGTCCAGTTCCCAAAAATTTTCTCCCAGTCTTCAGATAGTCTCTTCACTTTGTTGATGAACAAAGGTATTTCATTTTTATGAAGTCTCACTGATCTATTTTGTCTGGATCTTTTATTTAGAATCAGGAAGTTCTTCCAAGTTCTTCTTCAGCATCACTGTCTTGCTTCCTCATCATCTGAAGAGATTAGACCAGCAGCAGCATGAGGTCCAGTCTATTCCTGACTAGAGAGCTGAGGTTATCACCTAACCAGAGCACCCCATTTTCTCTTCACAGAGAACATCAGACCCTTTGAGCTCTATGAGATCACTGTGACCCCTCTATACCAGGACGCCGTGGGACCCTCCCAACATGTCTATGCCTACTCCCAAGAGAAGGGTTTGTCAACTGTCAGATCCCTTCCCAGAACCCTCTCCTACTTTCCCAAGACCTGCCTGAGCCCCAATAATCAGGAATATAAAGAAGCATATCTTCCTTCCCTACCTGTGACCCTGGAAAGGTGCTCTCTCCCAATCCTAAGATTACCCCTAGCTTACACTTAACCCCTGGAAAAGCAGCTGGAGATAAATGAGGTGGTGAGAGTGACAGAAATTGGGCAGTGGGTTTGCCATAATTCAAGGAACAAAGCTGAAAATTTAATCTATTGCCTTGGCAAACATTAGTGTCACATGAGATAGAAATTAGACAAAGAACCTGACACTAATTCAAGGGGTGTGTGGTAGAAATCAGACTCTGAATCAGACAAAATCAAGCCTGGCAAAAATCAGGTAGTAAGGTTTTGGAGTCAGACAGAACCAGGTTCTTGCTTGACCACAGTTGTAGATGGAATTCAGACAAAGTTCGTAGAAAACTGAGCCCACTGAGCAGGGGAAAACCAGACAGCTTCCTCTCATGCTCTCTTTTCTCACCCAGCCTGCAGTGCATCCCACTTCTCGCATCTGGTTAGACATAAGGTGTCCAGTGAGCCTTTCTGTCCTGCCCTGCTCCTGACAACTCTTGTACCTCTCTTGTCTCAGACCCACCCCGTGCCCCAGAGATGCATCTGAAACACATTGGCAAGACCTGGGCTCAGCTGGAGTGGGTGCCTGACACCCCTGAGCTAGGGAAGAGCCCCCTAACCCACTACACCATCTTCTGGACCAACACTCGGAATCAGTCCTCCTGTGAGTTGATCCCAGGAAGCCCAAGGGGAGGGATGATGGAGGGAAGAATGATGGAGGAAGGGAAAGAATGATGGAGGAAGCCTGAAGCCTCCGCATCCAGGCCCAGGCTGACTGTTCTCCCCCCACCTCCAGCTGCCGTCCTGAATGCCTCTTCCTGGAGCTTTGTCCTCCACGGCCTGGAACCTGCCAGCTTGTATCATGTCCACCTCATGGCCACCAGCCAGGCCGGGGCCATGAACAATACAGGGCTCACCCTGATGACCTTGGCCCTGGGTAAGGAGACAGAGGCTGGGCAGAGAGGACTGCTGGGAGGGTACCCAGATGCCCCACCAAATACTCCCCATTCCAAGAATACATCTGCCCTGGGGTCCCAGCCTGAGAGAGAAGGCCTTACCACATGCACTCTAACCATTTCTGGCTTTCCCCTAACCCCAGATGAGTCTGAGCTGCACATCCTCTTGGGCCTGTTTGGCCTTCTGCTGTTGCTCATCTTCCTCTGTGGGGCTGCCTGGCTGTGCTGTAGCTCCAGGTGAGTCCCTTTGAGAGAACTGACGCAGGCCTGGATGGGTCTAAGTACCTCCTAGTCCTCCAGGCCTTGGGGGCCATGTCTGGGAGTCTGAACCCTCTGCCTTCTCCTCTGTGCACTAAGGGGTCCCCCCTTCAGCCACTGGAGTTGAGTGGGAGGAAGGACTGGAAGATAAGAGGGCATGCTGGGCCCAGTCCTTACCTGCCCACTTCTCCAGCAGGAAGAATCACCTCTGGCCAAGTGTCCCAGACCCAGCCCATAGCAGCCTGAGTGCCTGGGTGCCCACCATCATGACGGAGGTGAGAAGCCTGCAGGGAGAGGGAAGTGGTGTGGAGGTGTTGGCTTAGGCCCAAAGTGAAGGGAGACCCCCTCTGAGGACAAGCACTTGGCCCTGCCATCAATTCCTATGAAGATCCCTTGGAGAGAAACGCACCTGAATTTAATACCAACTCCCTCCTCCAGTCTGAGCCCCAGCCCCTCACTGTGCACTGGGACTAATCACAGAATTGTTGGGAAGAATCATTGGTGAGTCTATAGAACACCCAGTAGGTGTCAGGCATATGAAGTCTGTTGAAAATATTGCCCTTTGAGTTCCAGGAGGAGATCAACAGAAGTCAGGAAAGGGCAATGGCTGGGGCAGACATCTAAAAATATACCATCCCTCACCTTATATGTCCTTGTGTCCAGGAAATCTTTCAGCTGCCCAGCCTTCGGGACCCTGGCATGCCCCCCATCGCCAAGATCACGGTGATGGAGGAGGAAGAGAAGAAGCCAGGGCCCTGGGAGTCCAGTGACAGCTCCGGGACCTGTGACCTCCCCACCCTGGTCCAGGCCTATGTGCTCCAGGGAGAATCAAAAGAAGCTTTCAGTCAGCCCCAGCCCCAGTCTGGCCCCAATGATCAGGTCCTTTACGGGCAGGTGTTGGGCGGCCCCACAAGCCCAGGGCCAGAGCACTACCTACGCTGCAACTCCACCCAGCCCCTGTTGGGAGGGCTCACCCCTAGCCCCAAGTCCTATGAGAACCTCTGGTTTCAGACCAGCCCTCTAGGGGCCCCAGTTGCCCTATCCCCAAGCCCTGAGGATGATTGTGTCTTTGGACCATTGCTCGACTTCCCCCTGCTACAAGGGCTCCGAGTCCATGGAGTGGAAGGGATGGGAAGTTTCTAGGGCTTCCTGGGACTGCCCCATCTGCGTCTGGCCCCTTGGAGGCTTGGACTGCCCAAGTCAAGTCAGTAAGCTAAAAACCAACCCCGTCTCCAAGCTCCTCCTGGGCTCCCCTATCCCGGGTCCCATCACCCTCCCCTCATGTCCTGTCTCTGTGGGCTGGACCTCCCTGACAACCTGCACACTTTAAGAATGCTTCATCCAGCCCCACCCACTAACATTTGTACTTGTATCCTGTCATTTGAGTCTCTTCAATTGGCTTTGTATTTTTTTATTTTTTGAGAAACTCTTGAGTGTGCCTGAGTCCCTCTTCTTTTTTCTTTTCAGGCCTAGCAGTCAGGGTGGGCCAGGGGTGGTTCAGTGGGAGAATTCTCGCCTTCCATGTGGGAGAACCAGGTTCAACTCCCATGTGCAGCCACCACACATCTGTCAGTGGAGACTTTAATGTTGCTATGATACTGAGCAGGTTTCAGCGGAGCTTCCAGGCTAAGAAGTAGGGCCCAGTGATCTACTTTAAAAATCAGCCAGCGAGAATCTAGCAGATCACAATGGTCTGATAGGCAACCAATCATGAGAATGGCACTGGCTGGGTCCTGTTTTATTCCATTGTACTTGGGGTCATCATGAATCAGGAGCCACACATCAGCAATGAACAGGAATTGTTCATTTGTTTATTAATGACTTTAGTCATTCTTTCAACCAGCTCTCACCTAGCAACCATGCCCTGTGTTGGTAGCAGAGTCAGAAAGGATTCAGTTTGGTGCCCTATCACTGGGCTTCCTTTTTAACGGCAGAGACGGCAACACTGAACAATTAGAACACACTGTAAGGATTGCATAGAGAGAGTCACAAAGTGCAATGGACATGGTGAATAAACCTCAAAAGACCAGCCCCTTATTTCATAAATATTCATATATTGAATGCTTACAAATATTGCTTCAAGGGTTCCAGTTCATACATGCATGGGTTTATTCCACACAAAACATGTTTAAATATGTCTCTGGGATCAGTGGATGGCTGCAGACAAGTTTTCTCCAAGATACACGTCTCTTAGTCTCATTTTTTGTTGTTGTGAATTGCCATTGAGTCTGTCCCAACCCATAGTGACCCTGTAGAGGGTTTCCAAGGAGCAGCTGGTGAGCTTGAACCGCTGACCTTAAGATCCAAAGCAACTTTACAGTCTGGCACATGACCCCACAGCAGCACACCGGGACTCCAAACTTTTGTCTCATTAGGGGGACTTCAAAAAATGGCCCAATTCAAACAGTGGCTTCCAAGATGATGTGCTAGACCAATAAAAGTCAAAGCAGAAAGATGAGCTTGGAAGATTCAAGAGGGATCTCAAAGAGGTAATTTTTTATAGATTTTCTCAAAGGACTAAAGACAATCACGGGAGCGTCTTAGAAATTTTTAAGAGAATGAAATATTATATTAGTGAGGAAAGACCGGGAAAGATGCACCAAGAAATTTTTTCAAATCACAATAATGTACCTGCTCATTCTTCAAGGATAGCAAGTATTGTCCTACTAAAATTTTGTTGGAAAACCTTACTCCATCCACCCTACATCCCAGATCTTGCCCCATCAGACTTCTTTTTGTTTTCAAAACTCAAAAAACATTTCGAAGGAACATGATCTGAGTCCCTCGAGGATGCCATAACTGTCATTTTGACCTTGTGTAAATTGAAGAGCACAGAGTTCTTTTGGGAAGGTTACAGAGATGGAAAAACTATCTTCAGAAGTGTATAGACCTAGAAGGAGGATATGTTGAGAAACAATAGCTTCACATTCTGATAATTTAATTTAATAAAAATTTTTATGCTTTTCTAGCAAAACTTTTTGACTTACCAATGCATACTAGGTATTGGAACTTTGATACAACCATCTCACTTCATTAGCATAGAGGTTACAAGTCGGGCTGCTAACCTCATGGTCAGCAGTTCAAAACTCCCAGCTGTTCCACAGGAGAAAGATGAGGCTTTTTGCTCCTGTAAAGATTTACAGCCCCAGAAACCCTATGCAGGGTCGCTATGAGTCGGAATCGACTCCACAACACACCACCATCTCACTTCAATCATGTCAAGAGGTAGCATAGGATCAAGAGCTAATGGTTGCATGGGGAGGAGATAGTCTCTTTAACAGATGGTGCTGGCAGAATTGGAATGCGATATGCAAAACATTGAAACAAGACCTTTACCTCACCACCTATACAAAAACCAACTCAGCACAGTTTAAAGACCTAAATGTGATTTCCAGAATTATGAAAGCCATCAATGAAAAAATAGGGACAAATGTGAGGGCTCTAATACAGGGCATACACAGACTACCAAACATTTTGAAAATTACACAAACAAAAGTAGACAAAATAGATGATTGGAACATACTAAAAATTAAAAACTTGTAAGCATCAAAAGACTTCACCAAAAGAGTAAAACGGACTCTTTTTTACAAAATTCTTTTGTAACGACACATTGTACAAGGGACTAATATCTAAAATATATAGGAAATTACAACACCTCTATAAGAAAAAGACAAATAACCCAATTAAAAATGAGTGCAGGACATGAACAGACACTTCACCAAGGAGGCGATCCAGGTAGCCAACAAATATATGAAGAAATGTTTATCATCACTAGTCATTGTTATTGTTGTTGTTAAGTGCCATCGAGTCAGTACCGACCCATAGTGACCTTACGCACAGCAAAACAAAACACTGCCCGATCCTGGTCAACCTCATTACTGTTGCCACACTTGAGTCCATTGATGCTGCCACTTGGCCAATCCATCTCATTGGGGGTCTTCCTCTTTTTCTCTGACCCTCCACCTTACCAAACATGATCTCCTTCTCCAGCGACTAGTCCCTCCTGACACTATGTCAGAAGTAATAGAGATGAAGTTTGGCCATCCTGGCCTCCAAGGAGCACTCTGGCTGCACTTATTCCAACACATATCTACTGGTTCTTTTAGCAGTCCATGGCACTTTCAATATTCTCCTCCAACACCACACCTCAAAAGCATCAACTCTTCTACAGTCTTCCTTATTTTCTCATGCATATGAGGTTATTGAAAATACCATGGCCTGGGTCAGGCGCACCTTAGTCCTCAAGCTGACATCTTTGCTGTTCAACACTTAAAAAAGTTCCTGTGCAGCAGATTTGCCTAATGCAATACATCATTTGATTTCTTGGCTGCTGCTTCCACGAGTGTTGATAGTTGATCCAAGAATGAAGTCCTTGACAACTTCAATCTTTTCTCTGTTGATAAGAATGTTGTTTATTGGTCCAGTGGTGAGGATTTTCATTTTCTTTACATTCTTTACATTAGTAAATATTTTAAGTCCTCTTCACTTTCAGCAAGCAAGGTTGTATCATCTGCATATCGCACGTTGTTAATGAGTCTTCCTCCAATCCTAATGCCACGTTTTTCTTCGTATAACCCAGCTTCTCAGATTATTTGCTCAGCATACAGGTTGAATAAGTATGGTGAAAGAATACAACCCTGTCATACACCTTTCTTAATTTTAAACCATCCAGTGTTCCCATGTTCTGTTAGAACAACTGCCTCTTGGTCCAGGTACAGATTCCTCCTGAGCACAATTAAGTGTTCCGGAATACTCATACTTCGCAATATTGTCCATAGCTTGTCATGATCCGCACAATCGAAAGCCTTTGCTTAGTCAGTAAAGCACAGGTAAACATCTTTCTGATATTCTCTGCTTTCAATCAAGATCCATCAGACATCAGCAATGAGATCCCTCATTCCACGGTCTCTTCTGAATCCGTCTTGAACCTCTGGAAGTTCTCTGTCAATGTATGCTTGCAGCCATTTTTGTATTATCTTTAGTGAAACTTTACTCACATGGAATATCAACAATATTATCCAAAGTTTTCTGCATTCCACTGGGTCACCTCTCTTTGGAATGGGAACAAATACGGATCTCTTCCAATCAGTCGGCCAGATAGTTGTCTTCCAAATTTCTTGGCAGAGATGAGTGAGTGCCTTCTGTGCCACCTCACTTTCTTGAA